CAATCCTGAAATAAAAACGTCATTACGAGTTCCTGTAAACGAGATAGACACTTTTTAGAGATTCTTTGGGAGAGAATCAGGTGCTTCATCGATTATATATAAATTCTAAAAACGTAACACCAGCCTCGCAAGGGCTCGCAGCTGAGAAACACGTATAGCGACACGCGCGGCGCGCGGCATTAATTTCCATTAGCGAATATCCAATTTATTGCGAGAGCAAAGGCGGCCAATCGGCGAGCGCGGTCGTAATAAACGTAATTATATTTAACGGGGCGCATAAAGGCCTCGATAGATTAGAGACCTCTCTCCTCTTTCCTGCGCTCCCTTCCCTTCTCTCTCTCGCGTTTCCAGCCGTGATATATGTATTCGCGCGGCGCGGCGTGGCGCAGCGCGAACGTGTAGCGCGCGATCCGTCCCGATCGACCGGATGACGTGGCTTGGCTCGCGTAATTAGAATATCAATTAATAATCGGGATTAATTAAATCCGCGATTATCGATGCACGTCGCGACGCGACGTGAGCTTTCGTCATCCGCGCGCTCATGTGTGTGCACGCGCGCACACACATACACGCAACCTAAATGCCAAAGATGGAGACGGGCAGATTAGCTCGCGCGCGAACGCATACATACGGCTCATGTCACCTTTTTTTTGTCCTTGATGAGTCCAACGACATTCATTCTCGCTCGCGCGCGTTTATTACACCGTTGTCGTCGTTACATTAATTACCTCGCACGACGCTCTCTGTGCGCAACCGGTCCGCAATTGATACCGAAGTTAATTTCCTTTTGAGACGGACGTCTCGAGTTTATCGCGGATATCGCGGGACGTTATTTACATAGATAGATAACTATTTGTAACAGTTTTTACATATATATATATATATATATACACACGGAAAGAACACATTTGTTGAATCCAGATGAAAATAATTTTTGTTCAATAATTAAAATAACTTTGTGCGAAAGTAAAAATGATTGCTAAAATATCAAAACGTTTTATAGCAATGCTTATCAGTTTTAACATTCCAACAAATTATTTTGATGATTTAATAAAAAATTATTTTCAGATCTGTTTTCAGCAAAATTTTTATATCTTTCAACAAAATCGTTCTTTCCGTGTGTGTATATATACATATATATAAATATATAATATGTGTGTGTGTGTGTGTGTGTGTATGGAGGCTGTTACAAATGGTTGTCCATTCATGCAAATGACAGTATACGTACATGTACATTGTAATGCTACATATATATACATATATTCAGCTCTATATTATGTATAATGCAGTTCTAATAACTATATATAACGCTATTTTATATATATCTATATAGCGTTCAACTTATCGTTCGATGCAAATGATCCTAGTGATTCATGATCAACTATGGGCAGCACTCGTATGCATAACGTACTTACGATGCATTGCAGTTCCGATATTTACCGCGCTAAAATTAGAAAATTCTATTTGCAGAATTCTATTCCGCGGCTGTAATACTCCTCGCAGAGTTGTTGGGCTCTTTTTTGACGCGCGAATTATTTATTTCCCCTTAACCCCCATACGCTTCACGGAGTGATGTTACATTAATTTACGACATTGCTCTGCGATGAAGATAAAATTGTAATTTATACAAAACGGGCAAAGTTAGATCTCTTGTGAAATTTCCTCCCCGTTCGAGAGTAAACAATTAGATCACCAATCCTCCAATCTTCGGGTAAATTGAAATGGAGGGAGGTTAATCTTTCCGAAAATCGAGAATCATATTGGACAAAGGAGGGAAATTCGATGATTTTGAGAAGTCAAGAAGTATAGCGAAATAGAAAACCTGCAAAAAAATGAATAACGGCAATCGTATCGAAAGTAACGATCAACGTCCATGCGCGTTTCGAGCCGGGATTTAAAGCTCGTTTTTTTCGTCGAGAAATCTCATCGCGCGCGAGGGGGAGCGTTCGACGAAGGCGCGCGTCTCTCCGCGATGCAGACGAGCGGAAAAGTGTCCGTCGATCTCGCGAGATAACGAGTACGCGCTCACGGCCGCGTTTACCTGCGCGTAACCTGCGTTAACTCGGCTCCTCGCTTATACCTTGGGCCGGCGAACGGCGCGGGATAAAGGCCGAGAGAGCACGGCGCTCTCGCCGCGGTGCCTACCTTCCAGGCAACGTAATTGAAGCTGCTCCCGGAATAACGCGCCTAAGTGACAGGTGAACACCTTATACGCGAAGCGCGTACCCGTGACAGTCGTGCGTATACGCACTGTGTGTCCGTCCGACGCCGCGCGTTCGCGTCGCTTTAGAGAGAGAGAGACGAAATATAAAAGCTGCAGGTACACACGGTAGAGGGAATAAAGTGTAATCTTGGCAGTGCGAGACGAGAGACGAGACGGTCAGAAGAAGTAGCCAATCAGCGGGCGCGAATATGATTGAGGGAATCGAATATACGGGAGAAGAGTATGCGCGCTTCGATGGAAGTATACTTCAATGCGTTGCGATCCGATTGGAACTAAGATATCGGGGGTATGCCTGCCAGGAATGGAAAAATAACCTGTATCGCGGTCGACCGCAGTCGGTCGGCCATTGCGAGTAGAGTTTCGCGAAACGTGCGTCCGATTCCGAACAGTTTCATCTCATTAACGGTGAATTAAGGTTTCAGGTCGGACGAGATTTTCGACGGGGACTCGAGATAACGCGCGAGGGGGAGAGGGATCCTACCGACGCCCGGCGTCGGATCATTTTCTCGTTGATCTCCGCTCATTCCCGACGCTCGACACCGGGGGACGAATTCCCACTCGCGCGTTATCGTTGTGCATTAAACTCCGCGGGGTAATATATCAGGGAATAAATCGTCGAACGTGTTGGAAGCTTTTATAGGATTTTTACAACGTGCGCGTCCGTGAAATACTGGCGTCGACGGAGGGCGCGGAGAAAGAGAGAGACAGTGGTTGCGAGGGGTGAGGAGCGGTTAAACTGAGTGTAAATCCAGGTATCGTTGGTGTGAGTGGAGAAAAAGGGGGGAGGGAGGGAGGGAAGGAGAGAGAGAGAGAGAGAAGGGGGCGAGAGAGGGTTGTTCGGCCGGGATGAAGCGTCTGGCTCATCCTGGGGGCATCCTGCAGCATGCGGAGGGGGATGCCCGGGTTTTCGCGTGCGTGCGGATCCGCCAATCGGGTTTCAGGACCGCCCGCGATCGTCATGGCAACCCCGGGGGTTGACGGGAGGCGATTACGAAACGGGGGTAACCCGATTAAGCGTCGCGACGTCGCTCCCGCGGAGGCGATGTCTGGGGACGTAACGGGATGGTTTACGGAAGGAGTGGAGGATAAAGGGTAGGCCCAAAAGTACGGTCTGTCCGAAAGGGGTTGCTCTCTCTATTTGCCCTCTTAATCACCCGTTAAGTGCCGCGACCCCGATGGGGTTTCTCCCGGGCACGCAGCAACGAGTTTTGTCCCTGCTTTTTCGCCTCTTGATTGGTCAGCGGTGAATAACAACCTTGAGATGGTCCCGAGGGGTGGGATATTTAATGCCGGCTTAAAGGCGAAATATTTCGGTTCAGGGGGTTGTTTAAAATCATTTAGATTCAACGTGGCACGAGAGCAATTCAAGGATTTAGTGTAACAATAACTTGGTCAACTTTCACTCTTTCTTTTTTTTTTAATTTAAAGGAATGAAATTTGTTTCAATTTAAGTTCACTTGTATTAATTAGAATCTTACTAAATCTTAATATATTACTTTATAAAGTTAACAATTCAAATTAGATAATTTCTATACCAAAACAACGGTAGTATCTTTAATGTTATCTTCAATATTATCGCATCTTTAATATTAGAAATATTTGTATAAGTACCCCACACGTTGATAACGAAAGAGATTTTTGATATGTAATAGATTCACATTATTTATCCCATTCATATTGTAATTTTCATCATAATGGCCTCGAAATCGTGAAATCATACGCTCCGTTTCATCTCGCTGCGGAAGTTTACCGTGTCGGCAGCTAATCCGGGTCTTGTCAAAACCGCGCAGCCATCCGAGACGTTAGACAAACATTCCCCGTTTCAACCCTCGATCCACCCCTTTTACGCCGCGCGTGTGTGCCCTCTCGTGACACAATGCTGATTTTCCGCGTAGATAGCTTCAAAATGGTGCCCATTCAACCCTTTTCTCACGAACGGCGCGTATATCTAACAGTCAATTCCGCAGGACAATGCCTCGATCGAGTTTGTCGTGGCTCTTCTCCCCTACCCCCCGCCCCCCCCCCTCGTGTTTCATCCCCTTTTTCCTCCAGAGCCGGCGACACGTACCATTGTAACCGGATACTCCCGTTTAGGGATGGCTCCTTGATACATCGGGGGGTTGACCGGGCTTATAACTAGTTGCCACTTAATTTGGCAAACCTGGCAAGAACCGAGGGGTTCGATTCGCCCTCCCCGTCTCTCGGGCCGGAGGGATTGGCCCGCCGAGATCGATTGGCGGGATACGTCGGTATTCGCTGGGGACGGCCACGCTCGAATTACCTCTCGTTGAACGTCGCGTATCTTCTGCTTCCATCGGGCTCGCCGGGAGAATTATCTTCCGCGGCGCGTTCTCTCCACCGAAACGATCGGAAATCCTTAACTACACTTTCTCTCAATAAGCTCCTGCCTATCGCGAAGCGAACATCTCGAAATATCGGAGCTCATTCTTCAATAATCATGAAGTTTTTGGAGTCAATTAATTTATGTTATTTTATATAAAGTCGTATCTGATTTTTGTATAAAATCCACCTCTTGCTCCTCTAAATGTTCGTTCTCGTGATGACTTTTACAAATGAAACATAATTCAGGCGATTTTAATCACGCTGCGTATATTTATAATTTGATATAAAATTTCTTCGTTTAAGAGAATTATTTTTTATCCGTTTTTTTTTCAAAAAGAATCAATTTAGAAGCGTACATTTTAGATCATTACGGTTATTATAGAGTTATTGTATTATAAGATGTTATCATAGCGAAATCATTGTGGTGTTTCAGGTGAAAGTATGGTTCCAAAACCGGCGGACGAAACACAAGCGGATGCAACAGGAGGAAGAGGCGAAGGCCCAGCAGCAATCGGGTGGTGGAGGTGGCGGTGGCGGGGGCGGTGGTGGGGGTGGTAATGGAAATGCTAACAACAATAGCAACAACAAGAACACGCATCACGTCAGCAAGTGGCAGCAGGAGACCGGCGACTACCATCACGAGGACGAGGAGGAGGACGAGCACATCGATCCGGAAGCCGAGGAGTGTTCGAGCGGCTCTGAAGCGTAGCTAGACGTTCTCTGCCTGGATTAGGATCCAGGATCGAGTAGATTGTCCTGAACAGACTTCGAGGAGAGTCCGAGCGAGGTAGAAGTCAGTCATGAGAGATAATCGCGCGAACCTCGATTGATCGAGTTAGGCCTGTTCGAGTTCGACATTCGAATTGAATATCTGAGGATTGGATTCACCTCGAAACACGTCGAAATCGGTGCGCCTGCGATCGTTTCATATTAACGTTGTGCGCAACAATGAATAAATTCCGCACGGAATAGTGATTGCGTGGAATCGAAGCTTCGGGTATGAGTCCCGATGCGAAAGGAAAGTCAGACGATTCGAAGATCGTTTGACAGCGACCTGCGGCGGTACGGTACTCACCATATTGCGACCGAGGACCGACCGGACATGGTGAATACAGGACTGGGGGCTACTAGGTACTTCAAGAGCAATTGTCTTGTCAAGTAAAAGTAAAAAGATCTGGGCTCTGGAGGAATCTTTGATTCCTGGACTTACCATCCCGTATATACGACGATAACAATTTTGAATGGAAAAATATTCCATTCTCTGACACATACATACACACAAAGCGTACGAGACGTATATTTTCGTGTAAACACTTATGAAACTGAAAATTTTTTTGTTTCTGTTGTTTATCTTTATGGAGAATGATTGACGACAGTTTTAATCATAAATCCTAAAGATATATATAGAGAGAGACGAAATCTTTTTCGTCAATGTGATCGCCGGGGAGGATTCGTTGGGTTCTACTCCGAACTTGTGCCAGATGGGTCGACAGAATAAAAACATCGTTCTTAGGGTTCGGTCATCGATATTTTTGAAACCTACATGTATCATATTTTATTGTATTTCGAGGTATAAAAAGTTGGTTTGAAGTATCATCGCTCAATTTTATTCTTTCATAATCGCAATGATTAAACGAAAAATTAAATGATTCCATCAAATATTATTTTTACGTGCGTAAAAATAATATACGCGAATACAGAAAATATATAGTGGGGAGCACATAAAAATATAACGATGAAAAGGACTCTATATCGCATGTTTATTCGTCGACGAACGACGCTGCGAGGCAAAAGTGTCTTTTGTTCCCTTATTCATTCGACCGGAATCACGACATAGTTCCTCAGGAATTCAGTTTCGCGACGTGCGCCGAAGGCCAGGGGAACAATCGCGGAAATCCGTAAATATCGTCGCGATTAGGACGATGATAGGACGGGGCGTTCTCAGACCAAGACCCATCTTACAACGGGTTCGGAAGAAGCGACGGAGAAATCGAAGGCGTCCATCGGAAACCGACTAATGGAGGTATTGTCTGGCCGGAGACGACGGAGCTAAATGGACGCGCTTCCGGCGGAAAGCGGTGACGACGCTCGTATCGCGAACGATCGATGCCAACTTTAACAAGACGGGTCATTTTTTTTGTTTTTGTTTGATTGACAGGTCGATTCGGAACTGTAGAGATTTTCACTACTTCGGGGGAAGAGATACTTCTCGTTTAACAAAAGCTTATACTTTCTGTTTCTTTGCCTCATGAGTTTCATTTTCTGAACTTTAGTTGGAAAGTCGCTCGCAACGGTTATTTAGAAAGTTGCACGCAATGTGGTTCAAAGTGATTGTTAAAACTTAGAAAACGGCCTGAGACGGGGATCGATCGTCGCCGCGATACATCGAGATGATGCGCCGATCGGCGCGCGTCATTTACGCTCATTGCAATTACATACTTCTTTTAAAACGCAATCATAAAGCAACAACTATTATTACTATTAAAACTATTATTGCAAATATTACATGTGAAGGCTCCTGACTATTCAGCCAAGAATTCCACGTTGACGGTGGCGACACTGTATCGCGGTAGGAATTAGAGTTTTGCTTATCGTGCTGGGCCCGATAGGTCATAAGGTGTTATAAGTCGTAAGAATTCTACAATATGCTGCGTATGCCGGGTATCGTAAGCAGTAAGAATTGATCAATTACAGTCGAATATGAAGAGAATACTCTACTTGAAGAGAATAACGGATATTACTGTGAGAAGTGTTGACAACAAATTTTGTCTTGCGTGCCATTTCGTTATTATGTGCTTACATTAATTGTGAAGATGTGTCTTGTACTTATCAAATTCGTAAAAATGGATGAAATGTAAAGTTATTTTTGAATTTCGTACCTAAAAGCAGATTTTTCACTCCTTCCAAACAACTGTCAAACCATGAGTTTTCTTGCCTGAATAGGCTTCACTTTACGAGCCTTTTACGTCTACTTACTGACTGTCAGGGCACGAAAAAAATAGTTTTCATTCATTTTTACAGTTTTTTAAAACGATCTCATTTTTTAATTTTATCTAAATTCTCTTTATTTCAAAATGGCACACAGGAAACTTTTACGTGTCATGTCTCGCTTATGATGTCACGATTCCAATATGGCCGCGGTGACTAGTCAGAAGCCTTAAATTGATGTTCAATTCGATAATAATGAGGCTACAAGCATCATAAAACACTGTAAAGTTTATTATAGCTGAAATTTATAAATTAAAAATATTAATAAATTCGAAACCGCTTTTCTACGATCACGGCTGGATTTTGGTGCCTAATAAATTCTATATGAATTTTTAAATTCATATAGATTCAGTTATTTAGCCATTTAAACTGCGCGCTAACCGAATTAATGTCGGTCTTGCAACGCAATCATTAGTTGAAACTGAAATAGCGAAATCATAATTGATCTTCAATTTTTGACAAATCGATGCTTATATAAGCATCTTAAAGTTGCAAAGAACTTAGTGCAAAAAATATTAATTACCTCAGCTAGGGTTTGAACCTGGGATTTTAAAGATATTAATTATAGGCAATCAATATCTAGCCTTGGCCGAATTTGACGAATTTTCCCTTATTTATTTGTTGTACACGTATAACGGCCTCATTGAAATTATTGTTACATATTTCTTGCCATAAAGAAAAACAATTCGCCACTGAAGACTAACTTTTCTCGGGTGATGTAAGTAAAGTGTAGCGAAAGACTAGAGCGTAATCCTTGGGGCCTTTCCCAGGAGTATTCTTCTCGAGGACGCGAGTATAAACAGATAAACCGACAAGAGAAATACGAGACGCACTGAATGCATGTGTGCATGCAGAAACGTAAGTGAAGGACGAAACTTGACAGAGAGTGCCAAACTTTGTAAATCCTTAGAAGAAAATCCAATGTGTAAAACTAAATGTATTTACAGAAATGTATTTACAATTGTATTTCAGTCGTTATTCTACGCGAGCGAGCAGTATTTCTTTCGTCGATCGATGTTTCGATATGTACTGACATTTTAAATTATTATTACTAATGTTATAGACCGAGACTCCCTGCGCCATAACGGAGCCGTCGCAGTAGTGAAGTATCAATTTCCGAAATTTTTCCAATCTCGGAATCGTGATATTGATGTATCGATGTATTTTAATATTATCGATCCACCGCGTCGCGTCCTTACTTATTTCTCGAGGAATAGAAACCTATAGAGACGTCGAGGTTCAAGTGGGAAATTCGCAATTCCTACCACGCTCAAGAATCCGGCCGGGTTATGGTGCAAGGATTTTCGCTTGTAAATAATCCTGTAAATAGTAAATTTTTGTGATTTTATTCGCCGTACAAATCTATAGAATTGTACGATCCAGTGACAGTTCGTGTTCTTTAGCAGTATAGCGAAATAAATTAAACAAGCCATGAAAACGTTTTTGCTTTTATATCTCTCCAGTAACCTGCGAATCCTTAAAAAAATTCTTTGTTATAAGAAAAGAAAAAAGTAAAAGTAAAAAATTGTGCTGTACGAACACATAGATATTATTAAACCAAAATTATTCCAATGCGATATCTTTTTTAAAAGGAGACATGGAAAGAGCTGTGTTTCAAGCGCGTTTTTGTACGCGTTACATACAGATAAAGAAGAAAAGAACCATTTCAAAAATTCTGACGATATATCCAGGTGGTAAATTTGAAGCTGCGAACTCGAGCTCGTAATTTTAAGGCGATAATTCGCGTACATATACACACGTACATACTACATACACGCGCAAACATATCCGGCGAAATTGTTTGTTTTCCGCACGCAGTAATTTCTCGCGCAGCGTATTATTTTACAAGGCGGCCCCGCGTGCGAAAAATTGAATAATTTTCGCCGTCGGGCATGTCGATAACGAAACTCCGCGGTAATTCCTGAGCACACGACATTATCGCAATGGCCGACCGTAATTACCGGGGTGCGCGCAAAAGGGTGTCTTCGCGCCGCAAATTGTTTTTCGCGAGGGCACTATACTCCGTCGGGTCCCTACGATGCGGGGCCCTCGACGACGACCGGTACGCGTGGTGGAGAAACCGTCGGTTTACGAATCCATATGCGGCCTACCATGTATACGCGTCTGCGGGAGCGATCCTTGTCGATAATCGCTTTATAATCGCCGCTTCCAAAAGGAATAATTTACTACGTCGGACGTGGAACTCTCTCGCTCTCCCGTTCCCCCGTAATTAAACACGGCGGATCTCTCCTTTCGTGCCCGGAACAACGAACGTGCGGACGCGGCCGATGTCGGGTAGATCGTACTCGGAGATTTGCTATCATCCGCCCTTATTATTTTCGTCAGTACGAAGAGAGATACGTTACCCCCGAAAAGTCTCGCGGACAGCGGAGAGTGAGAATCCGGCCGCTTTTATTCAGCGCTCTTGTTCGTGAATTTTTTTTTTTTTTTCTTTAATCTGATATCGATTTTTCCTCAACAGAAATGCTGGATTCGCATAATTATCGAGGCTTCAACGTTTCTGTTAAGGGAAAATTTATGCGAAATTGTGAGACTGTGTGGGTGCAAATCTGGTGGAATTTTAAGAGAGTCAACTTCAGAATCTTTCTCATTATCTGTCGTGATACATTTAAATTTTATGACATCGACACGTGGTGTTGTAAAGCAGAATTCATAATTTACTCAATGAAAATTAATAGCACGGTGGTAAACCGCGACTTG